TCCAGAAAACTCAGAGGTGCTCTGCATAGTGATCTCGTTGGCCACCAACAGACTGTGCACTGAAATACTTTCTTGTTCTACATCCAGGGTTTCTTGTGCGTGGGGAACCCTTTTCTGTCAGCCTGTTTTGTTCTTTGGCCAGGCTGTAGAAAGAAGCATAAATGCTCCTCTGGGAGTACTGCCTCAGCTTCCAGAGTACTTCTTCTTAGGCCTTTCCTCAGGCTGCCCAGTTTAATCCTCTTTTCTTGAACTGAAATATAAGCTCTTTTCCCCTTTGAGGGTGGTCAGGGTGGTTGTTAGGTTGGAAACCTAACTAGACTTTAGAAAGGACTCCATATATACATATATTTTGTTCCTACTTACTGGGGTGGGGACTAGGTAAGGATATGCTAACAGCAGCTTTTTTTTCTCTTGTGTTTCTTGAGATCAATTTAGTGTAATATATGGGAGTAGTATTTTTACTATTTTTTAGAAGAGAATACTGAGACATAAGGGGAGGCTGGTCAAGACCACACAGTTAGCAACAGAATGAAAACTGGATGTTAGGTCTCTGGATGCTCTGCCTCCAGTTTTCCTCAGTGTACTGCCTTTACCCATGATCCAGGCACTGCCCAGTAAGTTGAGTATGAATTTACATACTTGATGTTACTTGACCTTTTTAAAAATCACTTTTAAAAGTTCCTGGCATTGTTAATAAATGTTTCAGGACTCAGAACTTTATAGTAGTGTTTGGAATGGACTTTTGGGAGGTTAGAAAAGTTGCATGTGTCAGAAGGCAGAGACTGTAAAAGAGGGTGAACCAAAAACTTCCTCTCTCTTCTGGGTTTTCCTGGCTTTCCTAACATTCTTTGTGGCAGAAAGGGAGGCTCAAGTTAAAGAGGTTGGTAGTTAAAGGAAATGGGAACTCGAGAGAATATGGCACAGTTTGTTCATTTCAGGCCTTTTACCCAGTGTGCTTCTCTCTTTAATAAAGGAAAGATCAGTTCTTTAAGGCTAGAAAATTTTGTGTGATAAGAATGCCTAGAGGAGGGTATCTGGATATTTTGCAAAGAGAAGTGATGATGTAGGAGGGGCTTTGTTCCTAAATAAATTCTGTCAGGGTCATATGTTTGTTTTCCAGCTTTACTAAGCATAAAAAATGAAATCCAGGTTAACTGAAGTCCATGTCTTAATGAAAAAGGCTATGTAATCTGTCTCAAAGAACTTTAAATTTAGGTATGAGGCCAAGTTATCTAGTGTACTCAGGGTCAGGGAGAGATGCAAGAGACCTTATAGTTGACCCTGAAGATTTGTTAAAAGCAGCCCACCAGCAAATATTTACTATTTACTGAATATCTACTATGTGCCGGCACTGTTTTCAGCATTAGGGGTAGCAATGAGCATGCAGATCCCTTCCTTTAAAGCAGCTTACCTGTACTGGGGGAGATAAACATAAGAGAAAACGTAAAATAATGAATTTCAGGGAAGAACTATGAAGATGATAAAATAAGGTGAAATGTAGACTGGGGACTGCCTTTGTTGGAACAGTTAGGATAGTCCTCCTAATGATATTTATTTTGATAAGATAATATTATGCTGAGGCCTGAGAGTTCAGGAGCTGGTTGGGGGGTGGTGATGAATGGAAACAGTTTTACACTCCACTCAAATTTCAGACCATCAGCCATCTTAGTGGAACTAACTGTAATGATTTATATCATTTCACATAAAAAAGTTGGTATATTTTAAAATACTATGATTTGCTTGGTGATGAAGTAAATTTTTATTAGTTACTCAGATTGCCACCTTGAATTTCATATGGCTTGAAATTCTGTTTCAGATTTTTAAACTCACTATAGTAGGCCACACAGGAATTGAGTCCTCCGGCTTAGTGGAGACTGCAAATGTGACACCAACTCATCTACTAAGGATTTCAGAAAAAGTGCCCCACTGTGTGTGTGCCTGTGGTGGGCAGCTTTCTAGGAGGGAAATGAAAAGGGAGGGATGTGCCTGATTTCAAGTAGCTTTCTCTGTTTCTGTCTTTCTGCCAGAAGTTGAAGATTTTTTAGGAAACTCTCTGGCCATCCTTAGTGGGACTGGGAAAAATAAGAAGTTGCTGGACTCCATTTGGTTGGCTTTCCAGGCAGGGTTTGCACAGATACTGACACTGGCATCTTCCCTCTGGCAGATGGCTCAATCACAAAGGGGTGAGACAGAGGCGCCTAAATGCCTGGCTGGGAATCAAGAATGAGGATGCTGATGAGTAAGTTCTCCATGCCTTTCTGTCGGAGGGCTTTGTTCCCAACGTGAGACATGAACTTTCTTTCTTCAGACATGCTAAATGTTGGTTCTCATTGTCTCTTGAGGACACTGAATTGAGAACTTTGTACCTTTTTTGAATTCCCTGTCGGCACTTGAGTTCCAAGACTGAACTACATGAAACCTGAATGCATAAGCATTGTTCATTCTGACATACATATGTGTCAAGTTATTGGATGAGACATGTGAATTCTGTGCTTTCTGTCCCATACCAAGTAATTAAGTTAAAAAAATCCAACTAATTGTAATTTTACTTTGTCATTTTGTGGTTAAACATTTAGAAGTTTTATTTGTGAATTTGCTTTTAGATATAACTAACATGATTGTCAGAATAATATTTTAACATTTAATTTTAGGACCTATTTTATCAATGAGGAAGATGAAAACCTGCCCCATTATGATGAGAAAACCTGGTTTGTTGAGGATATCAATCGAGTACAAGCAGAGGACTTGCTTTATGGGAAACCTGATGGTGCATTCTTAATTCGTGAGAGTAGCAAGAAAGGATGCTATGCCTGCTCTGTGGTGTAAGTCTTCTCTGGGGGTATGACCTTTTGAAAACTACATTGATAAACAGAAAATCAACCCCTCATAGAATTCAGACCAAATTAGTTGAAGTACAGTAATAAGGACCCATAGCTTAGACCATTAATACTTGTACAAAAAAAACCCCAAAACCCAGTTGCTTTAGGAGAAATGATACCTGAAATTATTTTGGAGATTTAAATTTAAATGGTAAGCAGATTGGGCCCTGCAGTGCTGCTACTGGATTTCAGGTATCTGTGAAAAGTAATGTGGAATCTTCAATTGAAAAGATTGCTTAGGCTCCTGCATACCTGCCTTGGTCTTCATTGTCAAATTAAGGAAGGCTTCATTAAATAGAATTGTTTTTACTTCAGAAGAAAAACTGTCTAAATTTTGTGCTTAAACAGTAGTCTGTTGGAATAGTGATAAAAAAAAAGGGTGGATGTTTCCTGTAAGGTAGACTACGACTTTGGAAAAGTGGATTTTCCTTTGAGTGGAAGGTGAAATTCTGGGGACAGTTCATAATCTCTCAGTCAGACTTTTTGCCTAAATGTTGTGTATATTCCTTAAAAAGGAAAATTACTTCATTGACAAAGACCATATTTAGAGTGGAGGTGTATATAGCATGATGGTTATGAGAGCAAGCTTTAGTGCCAGATATACCGGATCCAAATCCTGACTCTACTTACCAGATGTGTGACCTTGGGTAAGTTGCTTCACCTTCCTTTGCCCAGTTTCCTTATCTGAAAAGTAATGATAATAATAATAGCTACTTGAGAGTTTTTTAAGTATTAAATGAGGTAATATATGTAATATAATGTGCTTTGATCAGGGTTGGCACATAATAAGTAAATGTTACCTACTAATGTTAGTATGGTAATGATGCTGTTGATGTGTACATGGCAGAAAGCAAGCAAAGATGACAAAATGGTTTTGCCCTCAAAGAGGACAAGGTGTTGAGGATGGACAAAAAATACTCATATTAACAGAGTGCTCAGTGCTTTATTTGATCAGCTTGTCCTTTGTGGTGTACCTGTACCATGGAGTCAGAGTTTGAATCCAAGTTTACTGGTTTCAGAGGATACATTTTTCTATGCACCATGCTTTCTTGATTTCAGTTAAATATCCAGCATAAATGGAATCACTATGAAATAGGTATCATTAGTAGGCTGTGCACATGAAGAACTATTAATTCTGGTGAAGAGAGTGGTTGGGAGGTTTTGGAAGAGGTGGAATTTGAGCTGGACTTTGAAGGGATAACTCTGGCAGGATTTGATATCTTATAAGAACAATAAAAAGAAGAAAGGCAATAAGCCCACTTGGTCCCTCACTGTCACTGAGGTCATTAGCAGCCTGTGGTTAGGACTCAGCTGTGGAAGACACTGCCTGGCAGCTCAGCTATTTCTTGGGAGACCAAGGAGCAGCTTGAGTATCTTTTCCTCCTTCCTTTAGCCACAGATTTGACCAGACTCAAGTTTACAGCAGTATGGATTTCCCTTGCCTATCAAAACCAAGTGCAGTCATGTACCATATTGGAGTTCACATTGAGGCTAGTTGGAAGCAAAAGAGTCTGGCACCCCAAAGATGTCTGCTTGTTTGCCAGGCACTCTGGCTAAAGGAATCTGCCTACAATGATCTCCCACTATACTTAGGACTTTTGCTGAAGTAGGGATATGAATAAGTTCAGTTTTTTTAGGAGAACTTCATAGCAAAATTCAAATGATTATGTAGTAGGAATGGAACTCATTTGTTTTTCCATTTTAATTTCTGTTAATAACATCATAAAGAAGCCTAAGAAAAAATTGCTTAACTCCATAGCCTTCTCAGCCTAAAGACCTTTAGCCAATAATGCATATTTTCCCCTAGGTTAGGGACTCAGCTAGCAAGCCCTTGTGATCCTTATTGTTGTGGTGCTTTTGATAAAAAATTGCTTAGGGATAAAACAACTAGACAGCTCAAGAAGGAAACAGAAGACTTGAACAACACTATAAAACTACAGACCTAACAGATATTTCTAGAACATTTCACCTAACAGAAGCAGAGTACATATTCAACACAAGTACACATTAAACATTATTCAGGATAGACCACAGGTTAGGCCACAAGTTCTCAATTAATTCTAAAGGGTTGAAATCATACAAAATATGTTCTCTAACCTCAGTAGAAAGAAATTAGAAATCAAACACAGAAGGAAATTTGGGAAATTGACAAATGTGGACAGTAAACAGTATACCTATAAACAATGGATCAAAAACACAAAACAAGGGGAATTAAAAAATATTTTGAGATGAGTAAAAAAAGAAACACAATATACCAAAAATTTTTGGAATGCAGTTAAAACAGTCCTAAGAAGGAATTTATAAGCATACACACTTACATTAAAAAAGATCTCAAATCAATAGCCTTTTTTCCACCTTAAGAAACTGTAAAAAGAAGAGCAAACTAAACCCAAGCAATCAGAAGGAAGGGAATTATAAAGATTAGAATGGAAGCAAATGAAATAGAAAATAGAAAATAGTTGAGAAAATCAGTAAAACCAAGAGCTGGGTTAAGGAAAATTAACAACCTCTAGCTAAACTGACACACAAAAAAAGAGAAGACACAAATTACTAAAGTCAGGGTGAAAGAGGGGACATTACTTGTAATCCTTACAGGAATAAAAAAAGATAATGATATACTATGAACAGTTATATGCTAACAAATTAAATAACCTAGATGAAATGGGCAAATCCCTGGACACATACAACCACCAAAACTGACTTAAGGGGAATAGGAAATCTGAATAGAACTATAACAAGAAAATGAATTATTAAAAGACTACAAAGAAAATCCTAGAGCCAGTTGGCTTCACTGGTGAGTTCTACCAAATTTTAAAAAGAATTAGCACAAGTCTTTCATGAATAGAAAAGTCTTCCAAAAAATAGAGAACACTTCCCAACTCACTTTCACAAGAGCAGTATCACCCTCATACCAAAACCAGACAAAGATATAAGAAAAGAAAGCTATGGACCAACCAATAGCCCTTATAGATATAGACATAAAAATCCTCAACAAAATACTAGCAAAGCAACTCCAGCAGCATGTAAGGATTATATACCATGACTAAGTAGGTTCGTGTGAGAATGTAAGGGTGGTCAAACATTAAAAAATAATCAATGTAAAACACCATATTAATAAAGGACAAAAATCACATTATTTCAGTAGATTCACAAAGTATGTGTGAAAATCCAACACTCTGTCATGTTAAAAACACTGAACAAACTAGGAATAGGAGGGCACTTCCTCAAACTGATAAAGGGTTTTTCTGTGAAAAACCTATAGCTAATATTATATGTAATGGTGAAAGACTGAATGCTTTCCCCTAATGTCAGGAAGAAGGCAAGGGTGTCCACTCTCACCACTTCTAATCATCACAGTACAGAAGGTTCTAGCTAGGACAGTTATGTAAGAAAAAGAACTAAAAGGCATCCATATTGGAAAAGAAGAAGTAAACTTTTAATGCTAATAGAGGAGTTCAGCACGGTTGCAGATTAAAAGATTGGGATACAGAGATCAATTCTATTTCTATATGTTAGCAATAAACAATCTGAAAATGAAATGAAGACATGCTATTTAAAATAGCATCAAAAATGATAAAATACCTAACAATAATACAAAAGCACAAGACTAGTGAAAACTATAAAACATTGTTGAAAGAACTTAAGAACTAAATAAGTAAAAAGACATCCTGTGTTCATGTGTCAAAACACTTAATATTGGTAAGATGGAAGTACTTCCCAAATTGATCTACATGTTTGATGAAATACTTATAAAAAATTCCAGCTCAATTTTTGCAAAAACTGACAAGATCCTAAAATTTCCATGAACATGCAAGGATTCCAGAAAAGCCAAAATAATCTTGAAAGAATAGAAAAAAAGTTGAAGTACACCTCCCAATCTCAGAACTTTCAACAAAGCTTTGGTAATCAAAATTGTAAGGTGTTGACATAAGGATAAACATGTGAATCACTGAGTAGAATTAAGAGTTGAGAATAAACCCTTACATTTATGGTCAGTTGGTTTTCAACAAGGGTCTCAAGACCATTCAATAGGGGAAAATAGTCATTCCAGCACATGATGCTGGGACAACTCGTAAGCCACATGCCAAATAATGAAGTTGGAGGGAGGAGGTCCAAGATGGCAGCATGAAAAGAGCCCGACTCACTTCTGCCCATGTGCACATCGAATCTATACCTACACACAGAGCAATTTCTCCTGAGGAACCGAGGGCTAAGCGAACAGCTTCTACACCACAAAGGGTAGAAAGACCACTAAAAGATGGCAGAAGAGACAGATGTGGTAACAAAGGGAATCCCATTCCCAGCGCAGCCCTGCAATAGGGAAGATCTTACCAAGGGACCTGTGTAAATCTGCTTGTTCTAGGGCACAGGGGGAAAAATAAAACATGTTTTAAAGGGCAACTAGCTGATAAATGAAGGAAACTAATTTATTAAATGAGAACACTTGTCAGATAGTGGGGGAACTGCAGGAACTCTGTCCAGCATCAGAAGTGCCATTGCTTTCATCCAGTCCCCCCACATTGATAGCATTATTGGAAGAAGGGTCTGGACACCTTAGCCAGCCGCCACCCTAGCCCACACCAGCTCCAGATTTCTCCTGTGGCCTCCCCTGCCTGTGCCCAGATGTGTCTGTCTGAGGTCCAGCAGTCTCACCATGGTGGTACCAGTGTGGTGCACATTGGGGCTCCTCAGACATGCCTCAGCACCCTCTGGCCCTCCTCCAGGGTGCCTCCTGTGCAGAGCACCCTGAGACTCACAGCCCACAGTTGCCTGGCCTCTAGCCAGCCAAGTTGCCAGGCCCACACAGCCTACCCAGGGGATGTTACTACATGAGGCCACTCGTTCAATACTGGGAGAGGTAGCCATTTTGCCTAATTCATAGAAACAACCACAGAAAGTCAAACAAAATGAGGAGATAGAGGAATAAACTCCAAATGAAAACAAAACTTCAAAAAGAACTAAATTAAATGGAGTTAAACAAAAATACCCAATAGAGTTCAAACTAATGATTATAAAGATGCTCACTGGACTTGAGAGAAGAGTGAATGAACTCAAGAAGGAGGGTAATAATGGAAAGCATTCAAGCTGAAGAGCAGAAAGAAAAAAGAATTAAAATAATGAGGATAGGTTAAGGTCCTAACGTTTGAATGTTCTAACCAATGTTCACATTATGGGAGTCTCGGGAGGAGAAGAGAGAAAGGGGTAGAAAATTTCTTTGAAAAAAATTATAGCTGAAAACTTCCCTAACCTGGGGAAGGAACCAGACATCCAGGTCACGAATCAAAGAGAGCCCCAAATAAGATGAACCCAGGGAGGTCTACACTGAAGCACAGAATAATTAAAATATCAGGGATTAAAAATAGAGAATCTTAAGAGCAGCAAGAGGAAAGCAACTAGTTATATGCAAGGGAAACGCCATATACTATCAAGGAAGTCAAAGACAACCCGCAGAATGGAAGAAAATATTTGCAAGTCATGTATCTTTACGGGACTAGTGTCGGATACATAACTCTTAACAAAGACAAATAAATGCCCCAGTTTAAAAATAGGCAAAGGATTCAAACAGACATTTCTCTAAAGAAGATACTGTAATGGCCAGTAAGCACATGACAAGGTGCTCAACATCATTATTTATGAGGGAGATGCAAATCACAGCCATAGTGAGATACCACCAGATTATTATAATAAAAAAGATGGACAATAATAAGTGTAGACAAGGATGTAGAGAAATTGGAACCCTCATATACTGCTGGCAGGAGTATAAATGGTGCAACCACTTTGGAAAAAGTCTGGCAGTTCCTTAAAAGGTTAAACAAAGTCACCACATGACTCAGCAGTTCTAGTCTTGGATATACACCCAAGAGAACTGAAAACCTATGTCCATTCAAAACCTTGCACTTGAAAGTTAGAGCAGCACTATTCTTAATAGCCAAAAGGTGGAGACAATCCAAGTGTCCATCAGTTGATGAAATGAATAAACAAAAATGGTATATTCCCAAATATTCCACAAATGGATTATTATTCAGCCTTCAGAAGAAATGAAGTATGCTGGCACATGCTACAACATGGAAGAACTTTGGAAATAGTGTGCTAAGTGAATGAAGCCAGATACAAAAGATTGTGTGATATTGTATGAATCCATTAATATGAAATGTCCAGAACATGGAAATACATAGAGACAAAAAGGTAGGTTAGTATTTGCCAAGGTCTGCAGGGGCCTTGGTAGAGTGACTGCTAATGGGTACATGGTTTCCTTTTAGGGTGATAAAAATATTCTGGAAGTAGATAGTGGTATAGTTCTGTGAATATACTAAAAACCACTGTGCACACACACACACACACACACACACACACATATTTGTTCTGCCCCTCCTCCAGTGCACTCTTGCTTAATGAAGTTCTAGAGCTGAGTGATGCCATCAGTTCTAGCTCCAGTCTTGGTGGGACATGCAGGGTATCTCCGTGATGAGTCTCTAAGGAGAGAGGGACACACTCGTGGGTGTGACATTTTACATGCTTGATAGAAAAACACTTCTGCTGCTCTTTCTTTGCTCTCAGACGGTCACGGAGGGTCCCTTATCTGTTGTCATCTGCCTTAATTCCCTGTGGTGTTTGTGTCGTTGCAGTGCCGATGGGGAAGTGAAGCACTGTGTGATCTACAGCACTGCTCGGGGCTACGGCTTTGCAGAGCCCTACAACCTGTACAGCTCATTGAAGGAGCTGGTGCTCCACTACCAGCAGACATCCCTTGTACAGCACAACGACTCCCTCAACGTCAGGCTTGCCTACCCTGTCCATGCACAGATGCCCTCGCTGTGCAGATAAAGAGAGCATGGGAAGAGAGGTGGCTCTCTAGCTAATCTTTTTCTACAGTTTTTACTAGACTGAGGGCATTCTTTCTACATAGACTGCTTGTTTTGCACAAGAAGTGGTTCTGTGAATGTCAAGTGGAAGGGCCGAGCAGCAGCCGGCCAGGATGGGACGTAAGGGGCCTGAGGTTCTCTGGGACTCACTGCACCGCTGCGCTGACAATAGGAAGCTGGAAGCAGATGTGTTTTGGAAAGTCTGATTCATTGGGTTTTTGTTTTGTTTATCCAGGCACCCTCAACAGAACACATTTGGCCTGATAGGTCTGGGGGTAGCATCTGGAAGCCTCTGAAGAATCCATGTCCTCTTTTGGTCTTCAACTGAGAACTCATCAGGGGCCATGTCTCTGTGGGGAGTTCTGTTCTGACCTGGCAGTCTCTCTCTCTTAACTTCCTCCAAAATGAAGGTTCTTTTGGTTCTGTGGTAGAATAGCATTTGGTGAAAAAAACAACCAAAGGAAAATGGGGGGTGAGGGGTTTCATTTAGAGAGTCTTAGTCAAGGGGGTAAAAAACCTTCAACTGGAGGTACTTTATTCCTTAACTAACAGAATTTAGGTGTCAGCATCTCAGTAGCTAGCCCCTCCCTCTAAAGAAGAATTATGTTTAGAAACCAAATTGATCCCAGCCAAACAATGTTTGTTGCCAGAGTAAGTTCTGAAGCTGGCATCAGTATCTGAATTCACACTTCTGTACCAGAACTTGAAAAGGAAAGCTAGAATTTGTAAGATTTAGCAAACACTAAAATTGGTCAGTGTAACTCCTTTGCCCTAATTTTAGGCCAGAGATGAGGAATAGTGTTCTTTTGTGGGCATGGTAAGCTTTGAATCCTAAAATGAAGTTGGCACTTGTGTGGTGTTTCCTTAGCCTAAAGAATGATCTGTTGTTTGAATCCTTTGTATCTTGTTTGTATGAGTAAAGATAAGGTGCAATCCAGTGCTTTTAGATGGCTTGATATACCAAATGACAGAACAACATTCTTCTTTGTGCTTCCCCCAAGCTTAAAGGCCCTGCAGAAACAGTAAATGGTTTCATCTCCCTTTGTCTCCCTGTTCTTTACTGGGTAGGGCTTAGGGGAGTCATAGGTGGCAAAGGCTATAGCAGGAAGTGAGCCAGACTGTGGTCAGGGACCTCAGTAAATCAGACCCAGGGGTTCTGGTGTCCAGGGAGAGGACATTATCCATGTGCTTCCATATAGTGGTTTCTGAAACTTTTGCAAGGAGAGGAAAGGATAGCTTAGCGTTTAGACTGTTAGTGGAAGCCATCTGTTAGCTTTTCTCTTTGCCTTTTTTGTGATCCCACCATTGAGATGATGTGCAGAGACTGTCCTCATGCTCCAGTGGCCCTGATGGTAGATTCCAGTAGCCCTGGAATCTTCTGCTCCATGTGGTTTAAACCTTCCAGTTGAGTGAAACTGGGCAAATGGACTTGGAGGCAGGCATCTACTGCTACCTCCCTTAGGCCCCACGCCCACCAGTCAACACTCATTTGATAGAGAGTCTAGCTGCTTCTGAGCCAATCCTGGAAACACAGAAGATTGAGAGTGATCAGCTGTTTGAGCCCAAAGCTGTGCAGGCAGGCCTCCTGGCTGAGCTGGAGAAGCCAATACCTGAGTCTTGGTATGTAAACCTTACAGCTAGGAAAGCTCTAATTTAGGGCATAAAAGAAACAAGTATTGCTTTCCCTGAGCACTTACCTTGGTGACAGGGTCTACAATGGACCGTGATATAGAAATAGACATAGATTTAAAATTTTGGAAAACCTAGAGTTCTTCAACAATGATGATAGAAAGGAAAGGGCATATCTTTGGCTTTTTCTTGGTTACATAGCAGTTTCAGGATTGGGGGAGGCAGACAAATGAACCCCCTTCAGTATCACTGTTTGGACTTAAGCCCTTAACTGACCACCAGCTGCACATCCCTCCCTAGACTGCCACACTGAAATCTTGCTGGAAGTTTTACTGAGTAACCAAGCTAACTGCTGCTAGGCACACCTGGGTGGCCTTACACCTGCTGTGGAGCCTGCTTAAGCAGTTAGATGCTCAAGATTAGGTGCAAGGAATCCCTTCTTTTTGGCACTAAAATTTAGTGTGTTCTGAATGTTTCCTTTTAAAAGCACGAGAATTGGAATAAGGATACATGCCAGTAATGCTGAACCATGTGCCCCCTTGTCAGGCAAACGTTAAGGGTGTGGTATGCTTAGAGAGAGCTACCATCTCCTGCCTGCACTTGGGCTGGCTTGTGGAGACTGGCTGCTCTTTTTTAGTTCTACATTCCTTCACTTTTTCTTTCCTGTTTTTCAATTCTTGAATTTTTTGCTGTCTGGGAACTAAGACATAGGGATCATTTGAGAAATTGCAAAAGTATCTTCTCTGGCCAATTGCCACGTCATTTGCTTGATGCTGAGACAGTGGAAATGGCATAGGGACCAGCGTACAACCACTTGGAGGTGTAGTATGCCAGCTCCTTCACTCCATGGTCTTGGCAGCAGGTCTTGGCCTCCTTCATCTGAGCCTCACTCTGTGTCCTGTCCCATGATCTGGGGCCCTAGGATTCTCTCTTGACATCTTAACTGCAGCCTCAGAGACAGAGGGTGAAGAGACAGATCAAAGCTGGAGGGCTCATTGTTCTGCTGGCCAGAGAAGCCAGCTGCCAACATGGAAGCAGCTTGGGGCTGGCTGGACACAGGGCCTAGGCCCAGCATCTCAAGGTGGAGCTCTCATCACAGAACAATGTTGTCTCCACCTGGTCACAGATGCTAAACCTTGGCCATGCCTATATAGGCTAGCTGTGTCCTTACCACTGATTTGGCCAAGGTCAAGGACTTCCTAGTACCTTCTCTACCCCATCTCCAAGCCTTGACGGGACTTCCCACTTACTTTGGCCCTCATGTGCTCTGAAGCCGCTTTGATAGCCAATGTGGTATCTTCCATGGGGCTCTTTTTGCTGCAAAGAACCAGCCTCACAGGTGCTCTTGAGCCAAGAATTGCATCTGGGAAATTCCTGTTTTCAAGGTGGTCTCTGTTGCCAGTTATGACTCCAGAGTAGGCCTCTGTGAGGCTTCAGTGGCCTCAAAGCAGAAGGTCCAGATGGGAGCCTGGCTGGGCTCTTTGCTGCCAACTGCTCAGCCTTGCTCTAGATCCAGCCACTTGGGATACACAACCTTGTTTCCTTACAAATTCCAGCATGTGACTTGGTACCCTGTTGTTATTTGTAGAAAACCTATTCTGCTGTCTTTGATGTAGTCAAAAAAAATTCATGTAGTTTATGTAAAAATATGATTCACAAGGAAGCCAACTTTGTCTTGTGTTGGGACAGCCCTTATGTAGTTCCTAGACCACTTCTGCAAACTGTTCTTGTCACCAGATGTGTTCAGACATTGCTGTGCAGCTGTCGAGGAGGGCGAGGGAAGATACATTTTGGTCTGTTTTTACCTTCCTCTGGGACAGTCTGGCCAACTTGCTCCAGTAATGCAATAAAGTCATTGCAATAAAGCACCTTTCTGTCCTCATGCTGTGGAGGGGTGGCTGGGGGCAGGGGCCAAAGACAATGGGTTGAAAGATCCTGAAATTCTCAAACCTCTCCCATGAGCCCCAACAGATCCATCCTGTGGCTGAAATGGGGCCCCCAGGCTTGATGCCAGAATCCTGTCCACCCAACACAGCAAACGGAGAGACACAGAAACAGACTCTGGGAAAGACGCGACAGGCATTTCATCACCCCATTCCCGACTGTTAGGGCCCAGCTCACTGACTCTCATCACGTCTTTCTGATAGGAAACAAGTGTTTCCACATTCTGTTCTGGGACAAGGGAAACAGGCTCAGGTTAAGTCTGTCCTCTTGTTGCCCCAGGCCCATACCCTTATGCCACAGCACTTCATTGAGGTTTGTGTTGGGAACATGATCAACAAATGTGTGACAACTTCTGTGTGCAGAAGTTGCTGCAGTTTCCGTGTCTCTCAGGCCCCCCCAGATGTGTGTTAACTACAGATAGGATCTGTTTTCAAAAAAATGTTAACCTGTGTAAAACCATTAAAAACTTTCAATTAGGATAAACTACAAAATTCTTACAATGGTCCGGGTTCTCCCAAGTGCAGCATCTCCTCCCCCACTTCAGTTAGTCTCCATTGGCTCCCTCCCCTCAGATAACCCCTCAGCTCCCCTCAAAGGCCCCAAAGTCTTGGGCCTTTTTCCCTTTGCACATGTTCTCTGTACAATACCATCTGCACCTTTGGCTTTAACTACAGTCTCTTTGCTGATGGCTGCCAAATCTGTGCCTAGCTCCCTACACGTCCCTCCTTCTGGGCCACCTCCTCACTCTTGCTGTCCTACCTAGTTCAGACCCCTATAACAAGTCACTACATCTTTTCTCGGGCCTGCTTATTCCACACACTGCAACGAGTGATCTTCCTAAACATGAATCTAATTTTACCACTTCCATGCAGTTACTTTTCAGGAACTCCTCACTGCCCACTGGCTAATCTGGCAGTTTCTCAAGGGTAGCACCACTGGGCCTTGGGGCAGTTGCCCTGTGCATTATGGGATGCTTAGCATCTCTGTGCCTACTCCCACCCTCCCAGCCCCCATTCCCAGCCTCCTAGGGGGCAGTTCCTCCCTCCCATGGACTGCTACAAGACATGCCTGCCCTACCCCTTCACCTGTGATATATTGCTTCTAACCAGATCCTGAGATACACGGGGGGCTCTCCCAGGCAACCAGTTACCTGTTCCTGGTGTCCAGTATATGCTAGCCAAGGATCTGCAGTCACTCAAAGACTGAAGCGAGGAAGTACGTTCAAGAGGGAACCAAAGGCTGAGGAAACGGAAGTCCTACTTGTGGACTCTGCCATCATGGGCAGGGCATGCCTTCTGGCAGCTACAGCCTTCTCCACATAGGACAACGAAGGGCTGCAGGGTGGCGGAGGTACCCAGCCAGTGGTCCAGAGGCATTTTGCTGTCTCCAGGCCTCTGGACGCTTCTCCTTCATCCTAGGCATTGGATTATGGGACAGCTGGTGCAGGACAGCAGTTTCCCAAGGGCCGCATCCCCGTGACGGCACTCCTCTGCCAGCCTTGGCACTGTGCCACAGCTCTGCTCCCTGCTCCTGCAATGCTCGCTCACATAGTGGTCCCACAGATGTCCTCCACCTTCCCCCCACCCACCAAGTGCAATTGCTGCGGCTGCCCATCTCTGGCCAGAGGCCTACCTGACAACAGCCCCACAAACGCTAAGGACTTGCTGCTGAGTAGGGAAGGTGGTTTCCTGTTTTCATCTCCCCTGGCCTCTCAGCATTTACAACTTCTCCGTTTTAAAAACTCATTCCTCTGTTGGGTTTTATGATTCTCTTCTGGCTGTTGCTACATCTCCTTTGCCTTAAATGCTAGTGCTCCTCAGTGTATCACTATAGATACTTGATGGCTCCCAAATTTCTATCTTCAGTCTAGATTTCCTACTGAGTTCCATCCCCATGCATCCAGTTTACTTTCTGGATGTCCCACAAGTACCTCAAATTAAATACATCTCAAGTTCAACTCTTCACTTCCTTCCACCTTTTGTCCTCATTTTCTGGCTAAGAGGCACTCCAAGTTAGGAGATAAATGTGGGTTCTGGAGTTAAGAGAGACCTGAGTGATCTTGGGCATGTTAATATCTTAAAGTCTGAGTTCCTTTACCTACAAAGCAGGAATATTAGTTGCCACATGGCCTTGTGTGGCTTCCTATTACCTACAGAAAGCCTAAACGGGAAGGTCATTAGGTGTGGCCCTTGCCTAACTTGTAGGTTCATTTTTACTTTGAAGTACTTTCAGTTCCATGAATACATGAGGTGTGTGGTATATGCTGAACTCTGCCTGGACAGTCTTTCCTACACTAGTCCTGACCCTTCAGACTCAGCAAACTACTACCTGTCACCTATCCTTCAGGTTGAGCTCAGATGTCTTTGTCTCTGGGAAGCCAAGCTGGGTAACACACCTTTCCCAACAGTGGAAACTGTCTTACTCACTACTATATTCTCCGCAGTGACATAGGACCATGTTACATTTGTGCTGACCAAAGAAAAGCAGCAAGCAAAAGACATAAAGATGGTTTCCAAGAGCTTGTATTACACAGGTCTGAGTGCAAGAAATGGCAAACAAACAACTGCTATGTTTGCTTTAAAAGCTCATCCGATGCCAATCCCAAGTCCTGACGCTTATGAGGGCCTCCTGGGTCTCGGGCCCTCTGGAGCAGGCTGGGCCCAGGTTCCTGGGTGAGGGGGCAGCTTCTGCATGGAACGTCCTGCCTCCTATCCACAGAGGCATCAGGCACTTTGGTGATGCCCAGGGCTGGCTCTTCTTTCTCCATTTTTGTACACTCAGGCTCCCATAGCCAGCTTTGGCTGGGAAACTCACAAGGCGGAAGGGCCAGCCCAGGGCCACTGGGTGGCCATGACTTTCCCTCCTGCCTGGGAGACAGGTTCCCAGGGTGGGCTGGAGTTGTTTCCAAATCCTGGGAGCTGCTCAGCCCACCTTCAACTGTTGCCTTTCTGCCTGGGCCCTCAGTAAGGAACTTCCAGGCCCACGGGCCTGGCTCTCCAGGGGTGGAGGCAGCAGAGCAATGGGTTGGGGTGAGTCCTGAAGAGCTGGTACAAAGTGCTGTAAGTGGCTGCGTGCGGAGATGCCGGGCCTTCCGGCAGCCTTCAGGGTGGATGGGGTCTGTAGGTGCGGCCCGACCCAGGCTGGGTCCTGGTGAGGAGCTGGTGGCCTCCTCGAAGGCTTGTGGGATACCAAGCCTCCTCTTAGAGACACTGTGGCCTTCCATTCTGGCAGGCCCCAGGATGACCCCTGTCAGTAGGCCTGGGGCCACTGGGCCCTGGCTCCTAGGGTCCCTGGGCAAGAAAGCATCCTCTCCCTCGCCCTCTCCTACTCCTTCGAGGGGTGGATCCTGGCCCACTTCTGGGTTGGAGACCAAGTGTGGCCCCTGTGCAGCTTGGCTCTTCTCCAGCCCCTCATCAGTGTCATCTTCTGAGGAGTCAACCTCACGGATGGCTTCCTGCTTCTGCAGTGACTCTCGCCGTTCAGCCCGGTCCTGTCGGAGGGTGCCTAGGGCCCGTGAGGGAGATGGCTGCAGCACCCCCTTACCTGGCAGTGCACCTTTCCCAGACAGCACACTCCTGCTCCCAACCACCTCCAGAGGGCCAACTTCCCTGGGTGGCAGCTCCTTCTTTTCAGGGTGGGGCAGGTCAAGGCTGTGCTTGCGAGAAGTAGCTAGCTTCTTCTCAGAAGCAGCAAGTGCAGCTGCCAGTTTCTCAGCGGACTGCACCCTCTTAAGTAGAGGTGAGCGGGGTGGCTCTGCACTCTTGGGTCGCGACAGCTGCCTGCCTAGGGGAGGTGACAGGTGAAGTTTGGTGGGGAAGGTCTGGACTCCATGGCCAGATAGGGGAGATGGGGAACGCTGGGGTGAAGCTGCTGGTGGTGGAGGCGGGGTGTGGGCCAAGGGTGACAGTGGGACGCTGCCCGCTGACTTGCGCCGTGGAGAGCGGTACTGGCGCTGGAGCTTGGGGGCCAGACCGTGCAGGGAGCTGGGCCGTGTGTGCCCAGAGCCAGCCGGAGAACTGGGCACGCTGGAGCTGGGGGAGCTGCTCTGTGACGAATTCCCTCCCACTTTGCACAGACAGACAGACAGACACACAAAGGCAGAGTAATGTTAGCTGTTAGAAGTGGCTGGGGGGCCCTGGAATGTCCCAGGAACATCAAGGTTATCCCACCAGGGAACAAGAGCCCAGACTGCAGAAATAGTCCCCCTCCACCCTTGACCCTCCTCCCCAAGACTCCTGGACCTTTCAGGGATGGGCAGAATGAGAGTTAGAGTGGGACTGGTGAGAAGCAGAGGCCCCAGGCACAGGCCACCCCAGGGCTTGTCGCTGTGATCCACAGGGGGCCCTTCATACCTGAGTGCACAGCATCAGGGGTCAGCCGGTAGCCCTGGGTGGGAGATCGGGGGGAGAGGCTGTGGCTGTGTGTGGGAGAGCCCGGCCCACTCTCCCCTGATGACAAGGAACGGTTAAGGGAAGAAAGGCTGCGGCTGGTATGGAGCAGGGATGCCTGCTTGGTGATCTTCCGGAACAGGGAGCTCCGTTTTCTGCTGTAGAGAAAAGGGTCAAAGGCTGTCTGAGGTCGTGCACAGGTTGCAGCATACACTGGGCACAGGGCCTGGGCCTCCAGCACACAATGGCACCTAGGTGGCTCAGTTGGGCTCACCTTTCTTGCCCATCCTTGCCCCGGCTCCGCTTGCTCCTTCGGGCCATCTTGGCTTTATAACTGCCCTTCCGAGCTGGCCCCACTTTAATGGATGTGTTCTCCAGGGGAGTCGTTGAAATAGACACCTTGTTTCCACTCTGAGGAACAGAGCATGAGCCTAGGCTAAGGCGGCAGCCACACTCTTGGCCCCACACCTACCCTGGGCATGGTTGAACCACAGCTCTAGCTTTGCCCCTACATCAACATTTCTGAACCCAGACCA